CAATATAGAATATTATTTCCAGTGCTACAGGATACGATTGATTAGCTGATGTTTCAAAATTTAATGTCGGTTCATTGGAGCCGTATAAACCAATACCCAGAACTCCTATTAATAAAAAAACAGAACTTCCTGCAGTGTACAAAATAAATTTTGTAGCTGAATACAAACGTTTCTTTCCCCCCCACATGGATAGAAGTAAATAAACTGGAATTAATTCTAACTCCCACATGATGAAAAAAAGTAAAAGGTCTCGAGAAGAAAATGGTCCTATTTGACCGCTATACATTGCTAACATCAGGAAATGGAATAGTCGGGAATCTCGAGTAACCGGCCGAGTCGCTAAAGTAGCTAAAGTTGTGATAAATCCTGTCAGTAAAATAGGTCCTATAGAAATTCCATCTATTCCCAATCTCCAGTAAAAATCAAAAAAATTGATCCATTTATAATCCTCTGTCAGTTGCATTAATGGATCATCCAATTGGAAACGATAACCGAATGCATAGGTTGTTAGAAGTAGTTCTGTTAAACATATACATATAGTATACCAACGGATTACCTTATTTCCTCTATGAGGGAGAAAGAAAATTAAGGAACCCGCGAATATTGGCAAAACTACAACTAGTGTTAACCAAGGAAAATAATTCATGGTAAAAACAAGATAAACTTGGACCAGAAAAACCCGTGCTCAAAATAAATATTTTTTGAGCGCGGGTTTTTGTCGGTAAAGGTAAAAAAATGTATTTCAAGTAGGGTTTTCTGGAACGTATTAATAAGCTAGACCCATACTTCGAGTTGTTTCATGCCATAAATAAACTCGAACACTCAAGAAATCCGTTGGACAGGCGGATTCACATCTCTTACAACCGACACAGTCCTCTGTTCTTGGAGCGGAAGCAATTTGCTTAGCCTTACATCCGTCCCAAGGTATCATTTCTAATACATCTGTTGGGCAGGCTCGCACACATTGAGTGCACCCTATACACGTATCATAAATCTTTACTGAATGTGACATTGGATCTATAAATTTTTAAATGTCAGAAATTTTCGATCTAGTAAACTTGTAAATGAATCATATATTTAGACACCAGATGAATCAATAATTTATCAGAATTTTTATAATCAATCTACTTCTGGATCGACCCGTGCGATAGAACCAAGATACTTTGATTTCTTACATTGATTTTTTACATTTTCGAAAACATGTATTATACGTAATGTATGGTCATGGTAATTATAATTTATGAATATTAGAATTTATATGATTATTAATACTACTTATTCAACAAATTTGATTGATTGATACGAGTTGATTTTCTGTTACGATAAATTGACGAAACAATAGCCGGACCAATAGCTGCTTCAGCGGCTGCAATAGCTATAACAAAAATTGAGAAAATATTTCCTTTTAATTGGCGACTATCAAAAAAATCAGAAAATGTTACGAAATTTATATTAACCGCATTCAGTATAAGTTCAAGACACATAAGGGCTCTAACCATATTTCGACTCGTGATCAATCCATAGATACCGATAGAAAATAAGTAGGCACTCAAAACAAGTACATGCTCGAGCATCATTGACCAACTCCTTATCAATTTCGATTCATTTCAATATGAACTGAACAACAATTAAACAGATTCAATTGACTAGAATAAAAAAAAGTACGGAACAAAGGAATATATTCTATTGGTAATAGAATAGATTGAATAAAATAATTTATATTTTAGACATAAAGAACCTTTAATTGAAGGGAAATAAATGTAATAAAACAGAACACAGTTTAATTTGGATTGCTGTTGCCAATTCTATAGATTTATTACTGTCGCGCCACGGCAATTGCACCTATCAAAGCGGCTAAAAGAATTATCGAAACAAATTCAAACGGAAGAAAAAATCCGTTGATAAATGAATTCCAATTTGTTGACTATTACTTATCAAATCTTGTTCTATAATCTGGTTTGATCTTGTAGTCCAAATAATCCCGTACCATGACGTATCTGTAATAGTAATCATGAGTAAAACAAAAATACTTGTACAAACTGGCAAAGTAACCCCATCCCCAACGGTCCAAAGATTCAAATCTTTGTAATATTCTGAACCATTCATAAACATCACAGCAAATACGATTAAAACATTTATAGCTCCCACGTAAATAAGGAGTTGTGCAGCAGCTACAAAATAGGAGTTTAATAGAATATAGAATAAGGATATACAAACAAGAACCAGTCCCAATGAAAAGGCAGAATAAATGGGGTTGGTAAATAATACCACTCCCATACCTCCTAGTATAAGAACCGATCCCAGAAAGACTAAAAGAAAATCATGTATTGGTCCGGGCAAATCCATTATATGTAAAATAAGAGATAAATAAATCTAAATGTTTTTCATGACCTTATTGAAATCCGAACAGAAAAAAATTATAATTTTTGAGCAATTCCTAATTAAATCCTAAGGGATATGAATAAATGTAAGTACAATTGTTGGACTAATTTAATTCGTTATCTGAAAGAGTAGTTCTCATTTGAAACTATATATGTAAAAATAATTACAGATATATTAATTAATGTATTTTCAATCCAAATTAAGACGTGATTCTTAACCAACTAATCAACAGTTGGGATTTGTAGTTATTGACCAAACAAAACGAAAGAAACCCGATTCCTTTAGATTAGATCAAAAAAAAATGAACCTTAGTATTATTTATTAGTAAAGTAATAGTCTTAGTAAAGTAATTATAAATTATTCTTTAATCAAGAGATTTACTTTTTTTTTTTTGAGGCGAATTAAAAATTGTTCGAATTGTATAATCGTCAATTACTGACATTGGTAAACGACCCAAAGCAATTTGATTATAATTCAATTCGTGACGATCATAAGTAGAAAGTTCATATTCTTCAGTCATTGATAAACAATTTGTTGGACAATACTCAACGCAATTACCACAAAATATACAGACTCCGAAATCAATACTGTAATTAAGCAACCGTTTCTTGCGAATATCAGTTTCCAATTTCCAATCAACAACGGGTAGATCTATAGGACATACACGAACACATACTTCACAAGCAATACATTTATCAAATTCAAAATGGATTCGACCGCGGAAACGCTCCGCGGTGATTAATTTTTCATAAGGATATTGAATAGTTACAGGTAAACGATTTGCGTGAGATAAAGTAATCATGAAACTTTGACCAATGTACCTTGCAGCTCGTACTGTTTGTTGACCATAATTCATGAACCCAGTTACCATAGAGAACATATCATTAATATATATTATGAATAATTTTATGTTTGTTTATTTCTCTTGTTTGAGACAAGTTGTAAATTTACCTTACAGTGAAAAGAGTTGGGAAGAAGTTGTTAATAATAGATTACCGAGAGAAATAGGTAAAAGAAATTTCCATCCAAGATTCAATAGTTGGTCCATTCTTAGCCTCGGTAAAGTCCATCTTGTTGTGATAGGAATGAACAAGAACAAATAAGTTTTAGCTAATGTAATAAAGATACCAATTGTCGCTCCAAAAACTCCACATGTTTTATTTATTTCAAAAAGCTCAGAAACATATATGTCCGGAATAGAGATATTCCAACCTCCCAAGTAAAGAACTGTTACAAATAATGAAGAAACTAATAGGTTTAGATAGGAAGCAACATAAAATAAACCAAATTTTATACCCGAGTATTCGGTTTGATAACCTGCTACTAATTCTTCTTCTGCTTCGGGTAAATCAAAAGGTAATCTCTCACATTCTGCTAGGGAAGAAATGATAAAAATGATAAACCCTATAGGCTGACGCCACAAATTCCATCCCCAAAAACCGTATTTTGATTGCGCCTCAACTATATCAATTGTACTTGAACTGTTAGATAATTATAGTCGGTGATACCATTACTGTTACCATCGCTATTACAGAACCGTACATGAGATTTTCACCTCATACGGCTCCTTAAAGGCCAGAAATAAATCTAAGGATCGCGTCAGTATTATTTTATCTTGGTACGTTTGTAGGATGGATAAAGTCAAAATCTATTGGACGGTCCTAAATTAGACCAATTGAATTCTGTCTGTTATAATTATTTAATAATAAATAAAAAAAGTACTTCTGAATCGATCTCACCCTTTCTTTAACTTTAATAATTTCAATAAGAATTTGAATTCTTCTTTGTTGAGTAATAACTTAATTCTTCAATAAAATACTTATTGTAGAAATATCAATAACCCGTTTATTTCACGTACGAAAAAAATTCTATAATTAATTCATGAATTATGACACAAATTCTATATCTATTAATATGTATCTGGGAAATAAAAAAGGTATCTTTTTTATTTTTTTATTGGAATTGGATTTCTTTCTCTTTTTTTCGTTCCTATTCTTCTTTCTATTTCTGAGAAAAAGGCGGCTTACAAAATAAAGTAAAGGATTATTTCGTTCCCAATAGTTATTTATTTAATCGGTGGATAGGAGCATACTCTGGATTGGAATCGTGTCGTGGGGAGTATTGCCTGATCATTTCTACCAACTTAAAGCCCCAATGAGTATTCTTTGTTTGTATATTATGTAAAAATGTCCTTTTGGAGAATTTACATAATCTCAATTACTAATCCTTTACATATCTTGGTGTTTCTAACCACCCACCCGTTTTTGTTCAACCCCCCCCCCTGTGGTAATACATACAAATGATAGTGAAAACTCAATATGGTTGATCTTTTGAGCCCGCTTCAAGTCAGGATGACTAATCAACCAATCTTGGGAGAAACGGTCGCTTCTGCTTATGTTTATTTCCGCTTAACTCTCTAACTCTTATACATAGAAAATGAGACTCAATCTTTTTACTGCGAATTTATATATAAGCTGTTTTCTTTCACTCATATAACTATTTGATTTAGTTCATCAACCCGAATAATGAATAAAAAAAATGAAGATATCTACATCTACTTAATTCATTCCAACCCTTTCTTTGAAAGGAAGGAATAAAGAAAAGTTTATGTCTATGTATCAACGAATCGCACGTAGAGATATTGATAACACACATAAAGTTAATGGTATTTCATAACTAATCGATTGAGCAGCAGCTCGTAGACCACCTAAAAAGGAATATTTATTATTTGACCCGTACCCTGACATAAGAAGTCCAATTGGAGCAATACTAGAAATGGCAATCCATAAAAAAACACCGATATTGAGATCCGCTAAAACAAGGTGATAGCCAAAAGGAGCTACTGAATAGCTTACTAAAATTGATATGACTGCTATGGATGGCCCGATACTGAATAAACGGGTATCCCCCCTAGATGGAAGAAGATTTTCTTTGAAAACCAGTTTTGCTCCATCTGCTAGAGCTTGAAGAATTCCCAAAGGGCCGGCGTATTCAGGTCCAATACGTTGTTGTATCCCTGCGGATATTTCTCTTTCTAACCATACAATTACCAGTACACCTATTGTGATTCCCAATACAAGAGTCAAAATAGGAATAAGCACCCATATAATTCCATAAACCTCTTTTAAAAACTCTAATCTAGAAAAAGAATCAATATCTTGTACTTCTGGTGTATCAATTATCATTTCAACGATCAACTTCTCCCATAATGATATCTATACTACCTAGTATCGTCATAATATCAGCCAATTTCATTCTTTTAACTAACTGAGGAAGAATTTGCAAATTGATAAAACCCGGGGGGCGGATTTTCCATCTCCAAGGAAAACCACTCTGATCCCCTATCAGAAAAATTCCCAGCTCTCCCTTTGGGGCTTCGACTCTCACATAAAGTTCTTGTTTCGGCAATTCAAATGTAGGAGAAGGCTTTTTACTAATAAATCGATATTCAAAATCATTCCATTCCGGATTCCTTTCTCTATCAAAGTATCGTATTTCTAAATTCTCATAGGGTCCCCCTGGAATTCCTTCCAGAGCCTGTTGAATGATTTTTATAGATTCTATCATTTCACCAATTCGGACTAGATAACGAGCCAATGAATCTCCTTCTTTTTGCCACTGTACCTCCCAATCAAATTCGTCGTAACATTCATAACGATCAACTTTACGAAGATCCCATTGTATTCCGGAAGCTCGCAGCATTGGTCCCGATAAACCCCAATTTATTACTTCCTCTCTACCAATAATGCCTACTCCCTCGACTCGTTCTAAAAAAATAGGATTTCGTGTAATAAGTTTTTGATATTCAGCAACTCTTGTTAAAAAATAATCGCAGAAATCCAAACATTTATCTATCCAACCATGAGGTAGATCGGCCGCTACTCCTCCGATACGAAAATAATTATGCATCATTCTCATACCGGTGGCAGCTTCGAATAGATCATATACTAATTCTCTTTCTCTGAAAATATAGAAAAAGGGAGTTTGTGCACCAATATCCGCCATAAAAGGACCAAGCCATAACAGATGAGAAGCTATACGACTCAACTCCAACATAATTATTCTGATATAGCTAGCTCTTTTAGGTACTTGAATATTTCCCAACTGTTCCGGTCCATTTACAGTTATTGCTTCTGTGAACATAGTAGCTAAATAATCCCAACGTGTTACATAAGGCAAATATTGTATAATTGTTCGGTTTTCCGCAATTTTTTCCATCCCTCGGTGTAAATAACCCAATATTGGTTCACAATCAATAACATCTTCACCATCTAGAGTAATGATGAGTCTAAGAACACCATGCATTGATGGGTGGTGGGGGCCCATATTGACTATCATGAGGTCTTTTCTTGTAGCTGGTATATTCATCGGTTTTTCCTCGATTCATTCTTTCATGAATTGCTGAAAACGAAAAAAAGTTCATTAAAATTCACGATCTAATAAATCAAATAATTCAAAATGCCTCTTCAAATTAACGGGTTTTTGACTCCCGAATATCCAACCGATTAATTAATTCTTTATAACATATTCTATTTTTCTTTGACAAATAAGACAGCAGTCGTTGGCGTTTTCCCAGAATTTTACGTAAACCTCTCTGAGATAAATAGTCTTTTTTGTGTAATTCTAAATGTGAAGTAAGTCTTCGTATCCTATTGGTAAAACTAACTATTTGAAATTCAGCAGATCCTCTGTTTTCGTCTTTTTCTTCTTGTGAAATAGCTGAGATGAATGAATTTTTTACCATAAAATGAAATCTTCTCGCCCCCCTCTTTTTATTTTAAGAAATTTTTATTGATAGATATCTTTATTGATCAGTAATAATAATGCCTCTCATTTTTATTTTGTATATACAAAAATATTAATTTTGTTATTAATTTCTAATTTTTTTTAATAAAATTAAATTTTTAATTTGTAAATTTTATTTGGATTTGAAAGGGTATACATAAAGGATGGTTGTTTTCTGCACTCACAAAAGATAAAAATTTAGACCTAAAATAATTTTGTTGATTCATTTCTAGATCAAATTGATATGTCATTGAATTAGTATCGTGTATCAGAATGGAACGATGGGATGTAAGACAATGCATGTGTGCATCTCTTTGTCGTCATAGATCAGATATAGTATGGGAAATATAGCAAAAATGTACTATTAATGCATTTTAAATCGCGGATACATATGTACCCTTACCATACTGAAACGACTGCCATTATTGGTATTAAACCAATAACGATTCATACAAGCCAAATCTTCTAATCGATAATTGGGCCAAATAAATAACTTAAATTTAATAAGTTTTTTTTTATAGTTTTTGCTTTTATCCAAAACTTGACTGTTTACCTTATTCCCATTACAAAATGCTGCATTTCTATGTCTATTCTCAGAATTGAAACAAATTAGAATTCTCAATTCTCTACGACGTCTAGGTGATAAAATATTTTCAGGAACAAACAAATCATAATGATTTTTATCTCTATTTCCAGTCATCCTTTGATGTTTTGTAATGGCTTCATCAGAATTCTTATCAGCATGTTTTTTTTCTCGGTATCTTTGATTAATTTGGTGTTTGCTTTTATGAACTAATGAAATACCGATGGTTTGATACATAATAAATTTTCCATCATTTTTTATAGATAGACGGATTGGTTCAATAATCAAAATTCCCCTTTTAATCAATTCTGTAAGAGTTAAATCTTTCTGAATCATCAGAATATCCGGACTCATTTCGCCTCTTTGAATAGAGGATATAGTAATTTCTCTTGGATTTATCAGTCTAAGCAGGAGACAATATACTTTGATGTTATTGCTTATTTTTTTATTTAAAGAATCATCCCATCTCAATTGAAAATGCAAATACCTTTTTAGGAAGAAATCAAACTCCGCTTTTGTATTGATCTTGTATTGCTTTTTATTTCTATTTTTTTCATGTACGATCCCGTATAATCTTCTTCAACATCTTTTTCTTGGTTTGAAAGAGCTGATTTAAAATCTGCTTGGACCGCGTATTCTTTTTCCCCTTGATTTCGGTTTTCTAATTCAAAAGATTTTTTTGAATTCTCCGATATTGATATAAAAGGATCCCTTTTTTTATTTCCGGTGATGCTTTTGTTTTTACTATAATTTTCATTTATATTAGAATTTAAAACTAGTAATTTAATTGGTATAACCCACGGTTTAATTTTATACGTATTATAAAGTATCCCCAATTCTGGGAAGAACCAAAATTCCATATTTGATATGGGACAACTTAGTATTTCTTCATTCATCCCCATCCAATCAAAAAGGGTTATTTGATTGTATAGATTGATTTCTTGATCTTGCTGAATCGTGAGATAAAAAAGACCCCTCTTATTGATTTTATCAATTATTTGATACTTATTAACCCTAGTCTTAGTATATTTATTACTGTTAGTGTCAGTATCAATATCGATCCAGGCGTCAATATCGACCTTATTTTTAAGACAAAAATGGAAAATTCTCCAATCAAAAAATTTTCTATCCGGATTTATCTCCATATCTCTAATATCATCTTCTACTAGATAAGGGATAATAGGAATACCTTCCGGCATATTAAATGATTTTTGTGTATGTGTGTTGTAATTATAAAAAATATCTTGTTTATTTTTTACTTGTAATGGTGATCCATAAATATAAGAGTCCTTCTTATCTTCATAATTAATAGATTTATATGCTAAAATATCATATCTATATTGTTTTTTAAAATTATCTTTTTGATTCAGTAATGAATCTGTTTCGAAATTTTTTTCGTAGTTAATTAATCGATCCTTTTCATATAAATCACATAAATCTTTATTTTGAGCCATACAGTGTTGATTGAATATATTTCGCCATTTTTGTGGTACTAATCTAGACCATTTAATATGAGATACATCACATTGATACTGACTCCTTAACCAATTTGTCCATTGATTCATTCCATAATTGCGAAGATTCTTATGTCTTAATTCGGAATGAAATAGTTCTTGTGTTACAACAAAAAAATCCTTTATTTCATTCTTAAGAAAAAGAGACATTCCGTTATATTGAAATACAGATTTTAACTTATATAAGTTAATAGGTTGAGTTTGTGATAATTTGTAAAATACATATGCTTGTGAAAAGTAAGATAAGTCGCAAAAAGTCTTTGAATTCTTATTACTAATATTAGTAAATGACTTTTTTATAGTCGAAATAAAGGGAATTACACTTTGATTTGTTTTATCAATTCTTTCGTGATTTGCTTCATTATCGTTAATGTATTTATAAATAATTTTTTTTGTTGATTCAAGAAAAAGTTGTGTATTGATGCTAGGAATATTAATGATACATAGAAAGATATCTATGTATATCCTTTCAATGAAATATTTTATAAAATAATGTGACTTACGGATTAATCTAACATTTTGTCTTTTTAATATCTGCCAAATATTTTTTTGTGATTCTGATCCTTTATCATCATAACTTATTTTGTTAGAAATAAAATTTATATCTGGAGTTCCTTTTTTATTTTCTTTTGTAATTTTTTCTATTTGATTTATGATTGTATTTGTTCTATCAGTTAGATCTTGAATTTTTTTTTCTGTTAATGAATAATTTGTCCAACCCTGAGATATAATTTGAATCGACGATTCATGAATCATCCGATTACCAATTATCGAATCTTTTTTAGTTTCACTCAATTCATATACTTCTATTTCTCTCAATCCAAATCCAAATAATATAATTGGGTTTATTTTTGAGAGTTCTTTTATTATTTCTTTTATAAACAGAATGCTTTTAATGATCCATTTTTTTGTTTCTTTTGAGACATTTAGAAACAATTTTTTTTGTTCTTTTAAAATTCTTAGAATTATAAAACATTTCTTTTTCAATTTTTTAATTTTTTTTTTAGTTCTTTAAAAATGGGTTCAAAAAATGAAAGTTTTTTTCTGGGAGAACCAAAAGGTAGTTCCGTTTCCATTCCAAAAACTGTTAAAAAGCAAAAATCGTTTTTTTGATCCTTTTTTTTCATTGGATCATTATAAGGGGCTTGTAGTTTAGATCTGTGCCAAGGTTTAAGACTAAAAGGAAATAGGATCTTGATCTGAATACCGTCTGTTAACCAGTTTTTTGGAAATTCTTTTTCTGATAATTGAACGCCATTATAGGTACATTTAATATGCATTTCTCTATTCCAATCCTTTAAAT